AATTGATAGATCTGGTGAAAAAAACCCTCCTTCGTATGGTGTCAAAAACAAAAGTTACAGGGACATAGAATTAAAAGAAAATATATGGAAAACAATTGCACATGTATGGACAGCACCAACAGAGATCAGTTTTCTATCTACAGTTTCATTCACCAACATACTCCATACATTCTTCTAGTAGCGCAGTTTCATCACCGTCTGGTACCATACCACATACACCCAGTTCCATCGCGATCGGCGACGGCAGTAATACACCCCATCATGAGCAAACATACAGCAATTTTTCAGTGGAGGCACAACCTCCAATAGGTGATACAATCGAAGATACAATTACATTAGCAGAATTCACTATATTAAAGTAGTTATTACGGAACTTTTTTGACAATGATTTATTTTATTTTCTATTTTGCGTGTTGTTAATTTTGCTTGTAAATTGAAAAATATTTTTGGTTAATTTTACTTATTCTATAGTCATTGTTAAACTAACTTACCTAAAGTTATACTTAGTTTTTCTTCTGGTGTAATTGGTTTTGTGTGCTTATTGCAAGGTTTCGTTTCTATATCATTTCTAATATAACTTAGAACTTCATCAAATAAAACTGGCGTCAATAAAAAATATTCTCGAAATTTTTCTTCATTTTTAAATAAATGTTTAATTAGTACTTCATAGGCTCCTTCTGATTTTTTTGTTTTAAAAGTGTTTTTTTCTTCATTTTTTAATATATCCAGCAGCAACTCGTCTTCTTCATCAGCAAATTCTTCCTCTAATAAAAACTGTAAAAAACCCTCCATAGCCACAGCACAGATTGTAAACTTCTTATTTGCGTACTGAAATTGAACATTTCCGTCCAATTAAACGGTCAATCTGTCTTCTTGAAAAAACACGGTGTCGTACGAACTTTGCGAAAGGAATTCGCGAACGCATTCTGTCGACGAACTTCGTCGGCAAATTTCGCGACGGCTTTAATAATAATACTCTCCCTAATTCACCCCATTACGAGTGAATTTCAACCCCTGAAGTTGACTGAACGAGTGGTGTAGGGGAAGGGACGGCTATTATTAATATTTACCGTGGCGCTCCGGGGCGACTTGAAAGATGATTGTTGGTGCCATTTGACTTACAGATGAGGAAAACCCGGAAAACCTCGGCCAATGTTATACTCTTCACACAGTAGTCTGCGTGAATCGTCCGCGTCCTACCGTATGTCCGTCTGTACGACGTCACGTTTTTTGTCCACACGATAAGTTAAAAACGTAAAACGATATCAATTTGAAAATTTTAGGAAAAATCAAGCTATATAAGGGGACGAAGCTTATTGATATTAAAAAATGGGGGTTAAAGGGGGTTGAAAGTAAAAAAAAATCATAAATCAAAAAAACGAAAAGTGATATCAACATGACATTTTTAGTAAAATCAAGCTGTTTAAGAAGATGAAGGCTATTGATATTGAAAAAAAATCTGAATAAAAGTGGGGGGGGGGGGGTTAAAGGGGGTTGAAATATTTAAAAAAATCCTAACTCGGAAACAAAAAACGATATTAAATTGAAATCTTCAAGAAAAATTAAGCTTATTTGTAAGGGGATGAAGCCAATTGATTCTGAAAAAATCTGAATGAAAGGGGGTTGAAATAATTCTAAAAAAACAAAGAACGATAGCAACTAAAATTTTTTAGTAAAAATCAAGCTCTATAAGGGAATGAAACCTACTGATTCTGAAAAAAAAAAGCAATCAAAATTGTGGGATAAGGGGAATTGAGATATTGAAAAATATTAACTTGAAATTGTTAGCAAAAAAACATGCTCTAAAAAAAGGGGTGTTTAATGGGGGCTAAAATTTAAAATAAAAAGCGATATCAACATGAAATATTAATTAAAAATAAAGCTCTACGAGGGAATTAAGGCTTTTGATTCTGAAAAAAAAAAATATAGTAAAAATGGGGGCATAAAGGGGGTTGATATATTGAAAAAATCCTACCTCAGAACCAAAAAAATCAATATGAAATTGAAATTTTGAGGAAAAATCAAGCTTTATAAGGGGATGTAGCCTATTGATTCTGAAAAAATCTGATAAAAATGAGGGGTTAAGGGGAGTTAAAATATTTAAAAAAAAATCAACCAAAAAACGAAAAATAATATAAGCGGAAAAATCACTTTAAATTTGAAAAAAAAAAAAATCCTAATAAGGGGGGTTGAAATTAAAATAAAATCAACTCAAAAACGAAAAATAATATCAACTTAATATTTTTAGCAAAAATCAAGCTCTATAAGGGGACAAAAACAGTTGATAAAAAAAATGTGAATAAAATAGGTATGTTGAGGGGGCTCAAATAAAAAAAAAATAAAAATCAAGCACCAAAAACGATATCGACATGAATTTTTTAGTAAAAATCAAGCTCTGTAAGAGAATGAAGCCTATTGATTCTGAAAAAAAACTGAATCAAAATTGGGGGATAAGGGGGATTGAAATATTGAAAAAAATCATAACTTACAAATAAAAAACCATATCAAATTGAAATCTTAAGGAAAAGGGGATGGAGTGTATTGATTCTGAAGAAAATTTGTTTGACGATGGGGGTTAAGGGGGGGGTATGTTAAATAAAATGTGAAGAGTATAATATAGAATGCCGAGCATTATATATCTTCATTCTAGTTTTTAATATAGATTAGTAATCCACCTCCTCTACTTCCTCAATCTCTTCTTAATAGTCGGTAACCAATAAGTTGTATAATATTGTCAGCAATATTATTTAAAAGCCAGGTTTCCGTTCCTACAATAAACTAAATCTTTAAAATTATTCAAATGCAATGCAAGAGACTTAACTAAAATATAAAAATACTATTAAATTACAAATAGCAGCACATTGATATGAACAATTGCATGATGTGTATATACAAGATAACTATTATTTCTTCTTAGGCGTTTCTGACACTGGCGATGCTCTATTGATAACTAAAGTATTCTTTTTTATAACAATTTCTTTGTAACAACGTTCTTAGGAAATCACTAACACACCTCTTAAAACTTACAAAAACTTATTTCCAAGTAAAAAATCCAAAATAGTGAACACGGATCACTTAAACGAGTATCTAGGTTAGAGTACTGTTCCACCTATGTATCTACTATCATCGGAAGGTAATGTTATTCATTACTATTGAGAATTGAATAGTATTTTTCTATCCTTCTATTAAATTCAGTTAAAAGCAATCTTCAAAATAATTGTGATTGTTTCCGTCATCTGCCAACTTTGACATTTTAACCAATCACATCGCAATTAGGCATTCCAAACAAATGAATTACCAGTGGGCAGGTTTGGTATATCTAAGGGTGGCGACATATAGTGTATTCTATCTACTTTACGTAAAATCATGAATAATGGATTACATTTAAATATTTTATGTCAAACACAATAAAAATAATATTTAAAAAACCCACCTATATACATTTTTTCATAAATTGGCAGGCTTGGCGAGTACTACTTCGAATAAAAATAGTGTCCAAGTTGCAAGACTATGTCGCTACCCCCTTAAATATACAAGAATTTCCCACTGGCACCTATTTTTTGACAGGTCGTTGGAATGCCTAATTGATCAGTAGAACCAATCGGACCCAAATAAATCGACTATTTTCACTGACTATCTCATATCGACTATCATCACATACTTTGATTTTCTTACTATCATGCATGGTGCCTGACGGCAATTCGCATACTGGATTATAGGTGTAATATTTAATAACGGCTACTGTCAAATATATTTTTTGTCAGAGTATAAGCTAATATCTCGTGGGACGTTTCAAAATGAACCGAAAATAAAAGTTATTTTATTGTGTATTTATTTAAGTTATATCTAGGGCTCTAGAAATAATCTCATTAAATATAACTAACTCAGCAATTCGCATACTGGTTATAGGTGTAATATTTAATAACGGCTACTGTCAAATATATTTTTTGTCAGAGTATAAGCTAATATCTCGTGGGACGTTTCAAAATGAACCGAAAATAAAAGTTATTTTATTGTGTATTTATTTAAGTTATATCTAGGGCTCTAGAAATAATCTCATTAAATATAACTAACTCAGCCTTATTTCTATTGTTACTAAATTTTTCGCATATTTTGCAATTTGTCTCGACATAATTTTGTCATTAATATTCAAAGAATTAAAGCTCTCGGACTCTATTGAAATTATTAATGACGAAATTATGTCTCGACAAATTGATATAAAAAAACACTCAAAATTTAGATACAATAAAAATAGTCAAGGTCTCCTTATATTACCTTTGAATATTTTCATCGAACAGATCAAGGCTGTTACTGTCACGATAATCAACAATTTGTAGGGATGGCATTGACACAGTACAGAGTATCGAAAGTTATTTCATCTGAATTTAGTTGATTAGAGGTATATTTAAAGGTACAGTTAACATCTGACATTTATTGCATGATATTTATGTCTGACAGTTGTTTACTCCAGTGTAAACACTCAAAAATATATCTCCGAGAGACATTTTTGTGTTTACACTGCACTAAACAACTGTCAGACATAAATATCATGCAATAAATGTCAGATGTAACTGTACCTTAAGTCTTATAATATAGATGTCTTGTACCAGTATTCATGAAAATTGTAGAATTATTGTAATGAAAGTTGCAGTCTTATCAAATTTGCATCAAACTGGCATGATTTGGTAAAAATTCAAAGCATTGATGATCATCCAACAAAAAAGCTGTTTTCTATGTCTCTATCATTAGCAATAGTAATATCTTCCAGGTCCTGTTTATCTTTGATTATTTAAAAATATAATTTGTTAAATTGAAAATGTAGGCATAATATTAAATTTACTACTTATAACGACTAGCATTATACTAGGAATAATAAAAAAAAAAAACCAACGGGAAAAACAGGTTAAAAGTTAACATTGTAAAATTAAGTGTCCATTACTTAAAATCGCCATTGAAATCCCTTAAAACGTTATGTAAATACCGCATTTATTTTCTTTCAGATTGGAAGTACTGGAGCGCTCTAAAGACTCTGTGTCCATCACATACAACAAAAACAAAGTAATAATCCACGCGAGACCACTCAAAATCGAATTCTTCGAAAACGGCGAGCTTGTCAGTGTCGTAAATGGCAGAGGATTGTTCACTTTTGAACATTACAGAAAGAAACAAGAACAAACCAATGAAGAGGGTCAAGAAAATCAAGTTGCTGAAGACCCAGGTGCTTGGGAAGAGAACTTCAAGTCTCATCATGACAGTAAACCTAAAGGACCTTCGGCCATAGGGTTGGATGTTAGTTTTCCAGGAGCTTTAAGGGTTTATGGTCTACCTGAACATGCTGATAGGTAAGAAAACCACCATAATGTACAAAGTCAATATAAATATGTGAAATTAATTATATTTTGCTTTCATTTATATTTAAATAGCTTTACAAAAATATAAAATAATTTACAAAATTCTATATTTAGATTAGCTTTGAAAACCACTGGTCCAGGAGGTGTAGATCCATACCGTCTCTATAATTTGGATGTTTTTGAATATGAATTAGATTCTACCATGGCCATTTATGGTGCCATACCTGTTGTTTATGCTCACTCACCTAAACGCACTGTTGGAGTATTTTGGCATAATGCTGCTGAAACTTGGGTTGATATTAATAATAGCAAAGATGGTAATGTCATGGCTTCTATAGTCAACTTGGTTTCAGGTAAAGACAAAATTGAAAAAATATTTGCATGATTAAAAAATAAGAAAAAGGTATGGTTTTTTAAATTTTAACATTTAAAAAAAATCATATTAGGTAAGCGTTTCATGATCTTCTATAAAAAATATTCAAATAAAATTTAGTTCACTTTTATCTTTGCCACGTTTTGATAAAAATGAAACCATGCTTTGGAATATTTTACATGTCTAAGATAAGTTTTGCTATTCAAAATCCAGCTTGTAATACATTTAACATTTACAGGTAGCAAATCTGAAAACAATGTAGATGCCCATTTCATGAGTGAAAGTGGTATTGTCGATCTTTTTGTCCTGATGGGTCCAACTCCTAAAGATGCAATTAAACAGTATGCCTCCCTCACTGGTGTACACCCTCTACCTCAATATTTCACTCTAGCCTACCACCAGTGCCGTTGGAATTACAACGATGAAGACGACGTTACTAGTGTGGTTCAGAACTTCGATATTAGTGACATGCCTGTTGATATTATGTGGTTGGACATTGAGTACACTAACGGAAAAAAGTAATTTCTTTTTTTACGTTATTGGCTACATGATTGATTAATTTATTTTCTAGATATTTCACTTGGGATCCTGTGAAATTCCCCCATCCTGATGTTATGATTCAAAATTTGACAGCCACCGGAAGGAAACTTGTTATCATCATAGATCCACATATTAAAAGAGAATCTGGATACTTTGTACATGAAGATTCTTTATCTAATGATTACTATGTCAAGAATAAGGATGGCACTGTTTATGAAGGTTATTAAATTCTTTCTTTTTTTAGTTACATATTTACAGTAAATTCTTATTAAAATTTAAATTATTACTGACAATATCCTAAAATAGTTTATTCTTATTTTGACAGGTTGGTGTTGGCCTGGTTCTAGCAGTTATTTAGACTTTTACAAGCCAGAAACTGTAGAGTACTACAAAGACTTGTATTCTTTGGAAAATTTCAAAGGTACTACTCATGATGTTAATTTTTGGAATGATATGAATGAACCATCTGTATTTAATGGGCCTGAAATCACAATGCCTAAAGATTGTATACATCATGGCGGATGGGAACATAGAGATGTACATAATGAGTATCCATTAGCACATGTAAGACTTACTAAATCATTTTTATTTTTCAACAAATTATGATAGATTCAGGACACTTAACAGTCTTCAAGTTCATTATTGTTTTTATAAAAATTTCAGACCTACGCCACGTTTCAAGGCCTAATCAATCGCAGTCCCAATAAGCGTCCCTTTATTTTGACCAGAGGTCATTTCTCAGGGTCTCAACGTTACACTGCAATGTGGACAGGTGACAACGCCGCTGAGTGGTCGCACTTGGCCGTCAGCTATCCGATGTGTCTTTCAGAAGCTATTGGTGGCATCAGTTTTTGTGGTGCTGATATCGGAGGGTTCTTTAACAATCCGGACATCGAGTTGTTACAGAGATGGTATCAAGCTGCTGTATGGTTGCCGTTCTTCAGAGCGCATGCCCATATTGATACCAGGAGGAGAGAACCATATCTTTTTGCTGATGATGTGAAGAATAGAATTAGAAATGCTTTAAGGTAAGTGGCTATCAAATAGTTCTGCAATGTTTGGGGTATACTATACTTATACAATAGAGGGTGTTATTGAAATTCATGTACATATTAAAAGTGTATGATGTCCAAAAACGAATGGCATTAATTTTATCATTAAATTATGAAATTTGAAATTGTATTGGCCAAAGGAGTAGTTATTTTCAGGAGGGAAATGGTCGCTCGTAGTTTCTGTGACATTGACTTTCAGTTTTTCCTTTGTTGTTTATTTTTAAATTGGTCACATTTGATAATCGTAATTTATTTTCTTTACATAAGCCGTCTGGCTATTATTCCGCCTTATTCTAGAGAACTTTGATTTTGCTTCCTAAGTGCAAAAGGCGATACCATTTTTGCTTGTTGAATATTTACACTCTCAACCCCTTGATAGGTTTATGAGCGCATTTTGTATTGCCGGTAGACTCCATTAGAGACTGAAGTCGAGATTGTCTATTTATTGCTGATGAATCCTAACGAAACCAGTCCTAGAATGACTTTCTCCTAAAGAAGCAAAATCAAAGTTAAGAGTGTTGAAAAATATTTTCTATCTCGGCTATTTACCTTTTGATATAATGCAATGCTTGTTGCGGTATTAGTCAAAGAAATAGTTGTTTTTAGTTTTGCCTTTGTTGTTTATTTTTACAAACTGTTTTTTACACCTGAAATAGTAGTTTGTGCAACAAGAGCTCAATCGTCTGTGTGCGATACGGAAACTCCACTTGAGTTGTACAGTATATTTTTTCTACGACCCACTAGAGAAAATCTACAAATTTAAAAAATATTTTAGGTTATTCAGACAAAATCACTAATTCTAAAATAATTTATGAATTTTACTAATTTATAAAATAAACATGCAATAAATATAGTTTAATTAGTCTCCAGCCCAGATTCGAACCCGGGCATTTCGCGTGGAAGGCAGAAGCTCTGTCCTCAGCTCCACCGCAGCTTATTTTAGTTCTAATACTCGTAACTAAATTATTTTCATTTGATTAAAATTTATTTTTTTTTTAATTTGGACCATTTAAAAATAAAAATCGATTCTACACAAAAATAACTCATTTTAATGTATATTTATTCTCAATAACTAAAAAATATACTGACAATTAGTTTTGACAGAATTGTCACTTATATAAAATTTAAAAAATAATAGTAGTTGGGTGTCCAAAATATGAACTGTGATTGGTGGATTTAATTTTTGCTGTGTTTTTAGAAAGGCTTTCTATTCTACCACTCCAAACTCATAAAGAACGTAGACTTAGAGGTGACTAGTTTCTGAACGAAGATTCGGTTTCAGTTTCATTTTCGGCCAGTTTCGACCTAAAATAAGAGTTTCTGCTGTAGTTTCGGTTTCGGCGAAAAACTGGCCGAAATCGAAACTACTTTTGTGTCACGTTTGGCGGCGGTCGGCATAATGTTTTCTTTTTCATAAAACATTAAATTTTTATTTCTGAAGTTTTTTATAGCTTTGTTGGGACTTCCATAATTCGTAATTATAATACCTAATATAATACTATTTTTGTTACAAGAAATCCGCTACCCACATAGCAACAGTTGCTACTTTGTAATTCACTTGTATGGTTTTTAATTTCAAAAAGTAATGAAAAATAAAGGATTTTTTTTTAATTATATAGATAAATAGATAATAAGCGTAGCTAAAATTTATAATAAAAGTAGTCTGAAACTAGGATTACAATAACATTGCAAATTGCAAAAATAAATTTCGTTAAAAGAAAGTAGCCGAAATTCGGTTTCTGTTTCGGTTGTAAAACCTTGTTTTGGTCGGATACTAGAGGTGACCTGATAGAAACGTACAATTGGACTAGTGGGAATAACTCTTGTAAAAATATTTGTAATGTTTATCAGAATAGAATACGTAGAAGACACTCCAAAAAGTTGGAAAAGAAAAATGCAATAAGCTCTAAAGAAGAAACTATATAAGTAGAAGGATGGTATACACTTGAAACAACCTGCAAGAGGATGCGACTCATCATGATCAAATAATCATTTTAAGAATCGGCTGCTTCCCACATCCTAGTCCATTATACCACATAACATTTGTGATAAAATATAGAGATATATTGCTTTCTGTAATGCCAGCCACTAATAGTGATATCGTAAATAGAGTCAAATAAATTCCATGCTAAAATCAGACTTATTGCAAACCTGAAATTTTGACATTAGAATCCTTGTCCTTATACTTATTTCTAACCTCATTTTAATAACTTTAAATTATAATTCATCTTTTTTTTGTCTATAATAGTACATAATATTGAAGAGGCATTAGAAATTATAATTTTAGAAGGGTTAGATGACGATTATATTAAATATTTAATTTTAAAAAACATCGAACTGATACGAATGTCGGCGAGCGCACCCGAAAGCTATAAAGTCGCCACTACCTGCTGCCTTTAAACATCCACAATTAAGGACAGGCACAATCTTTAATAAAGTCAGTTTTAGAACATAAACGATCTGCACTTGCTTAGATGACAAAGTAAGAGCGGCACTAATAGTGACTGACCTTAAGTGAACTTGCAATAAGTCTCTATTACTGTGATATAGTTTAAAACTTAAAATATGGTGATAATTTTTCTGTTTATTATGTGTTGATATTGTTACGCAACACCCTGCAGTGGCCTGCAGCCGTTATAGGAAACGTACAAATATGAAAAGAAGTGCATCACACTATAGTGTGCTGCGGTCGTTATAAGTAAAAGTACAAGTAAAAGAAGATGGAATAGTCCCGAAATGTCTGGAAATGTCATTACTCGTCAAGAATATTCTAGATGACAGTTCGAGAAGGGTCAAGCAAGCTATATAAGGATGATCTTGATGTGTTTTCAGTTTTATGATAGACGTTACATGTTAGTGTTATCAGTTGTATAATTGTTGTTAAAGTTGAGTTGAAATAAATTGTGATACCAAAAACCTGTGTAACAATTTGTATGTTATAGTTAATAAACGTGATTTTTCAATATCTGATCATTCTCATTGGTTTATCCGCTTACTGATCTAAATTAATAATAATTTCTTTGGCACTCATTCCTACACCAAAATATAGGTTATTGAGTAATTCCCAATTATAATATCGAAAATGCAATTGCAGACAGAGATTGTAAATCGTGTTTTCTTGGTGGATGACCTAAAATGTCCTAGATTTTGAAAATAATCTATGCCAATTTGAGTGATGTATGATATTAATCTTTTTTTAATATCTACATGTATTTCAATGACACCCTGTATCTTAAAACTACAATAGATTAAGTGACGTTTGTTTCATTTAAAAAATTACCAAAACTACTTAATTTTGTATTTACTAGTTAGTTTTAATTATTACATTTTTATTTTTATTAGACTGAGATATGCCCATCTCCCACTCTGGTACACGTTGTTCTGGCAACACGAAATCACAGGAGAACCTGTAATTCGCCCACTTTTCTACCACTATCCTACCGACGAAAATGTCCTCGATATTGACAATGAAGTTCTAGTTGGAAATACCGTTTTGGCTCGCGTCATTTCTGATCCTGGCGTTTCGAGTATTAATGTTTACTTACCTGGTGGGGCAAATGAGTATTGGTACGATATTGAAGATTTTAGGTTATATCATGGTACCGGAAATTACAATATTCCCGTTTCTTTGGACAAGAGTCTGGCATTTTATAGAGGTGAGTGATATAATGTTTTCAATTGTTATTATGGACTTGTGGTTTCTAGATAAACGTAACTGCTAAGTATAATAATACTTAGGGAACTAAAAAAAAACGTTTTCTTTTTTTAAAATCTAATTTTATTAGCTTTTAAAAATTAATTTAATTTTCCCAAACCAAATATCGATCCAAATTGTCCATCAAATCATCCGGTATTTTAAATTAGATAGATGAACGCACCTTTCTACGATATACACATTCATTGGTGGTAATTTTGGACTGACACAGAGCCAGGATACATCAAAAAGAATTCAGTGCGTCGTTTGGTGTCGATACAAAATCAGTTGAGTCTAGTCTTTGTTATCCGTTTGTAATGAAGTCAATTTTTCCTCAATCAGTTTATTTTCATTTTTCATTTTTAATAAATATTAAACACGATTGAACTCTTGGTTCTAAGTTGATTTACATGCGCGTACGCCGATCGAGTATCGTGCGCGGTGGGTCTGAACGTAGGTGGGGTTTCTGATGGGGAAAGGGATTCAGTAGTTGAACGAGACCCGAGATGCTATTAAAATTATCAGTTCGATAAAATATTTGATTGCCACCAGTCGAGACTAATAAGCCGCAGCACATATCAAATCACCGCCGATAATTTTTTTTCTCGTATTTACAAATCCGTTAGGTAAAAAAAACTCGTTCCGCTTTTTACGTTTTATATTGAGACCGTATTTCATTTTAAAAACCGATTTAGCTTCTAGGAATAGGAATATTTTCATTCAGTGTTTAGTTAAAAGATTTAATTTGATTTCATTAATAAATAATAGAATTTGTTTCTTGACAAATAATACCGTTTCTTTGTTTTTTTTTTTATAGATAGTGTTGAGTTAAAAGACTTTAATTTGATTTCATTAATAAATATTTGAATTTATTTCTTGGCAAATAGAATACCCTTTCTTTAAAAGGAATAGAATTTGATTTAAATAATAAATGATAGGATTTGATTCTGTAATATTGTAAAACCGGGATTTAGACTTTTGATCGTTAGTCTGTATTAGGAAATTATTATTTTTTCTTTTTGGTAGGTTAAATCGGGAATTAAATTTGATTTTATTGATAAATACTTTTGTTTAGTAAGTGCCGCGTTGTAATTAAGTTGGGAATATTTGTAAACGGAGTTTTCAAGGAGACGTTTTCCCTCTTTTATTAGTTTGTTTATTCTTTTACCGTATATTTGAATAATCTTAAATAGCATCCTGTCCTTGTCTGAAGGGGTCGTGATGACGATCAGTTCACTCTTGGAGTAGGTGCTGTCCGCGTTATTTTTCTATTTAGTTATTCTGTAAAACCACAAATTTCAATAATCCTAAATAGTATCCTGTCCTGTCTGAACGGGCTCGTGATGACGATCAGTTCACTCTTGAAGTAGGTACTATCCGCATTAGTAATTTTCTTCCCTCCGATAATAGTTTGTTTTTCTCTTTCACCGTCCATTTAAATAACTTTAAATAGTATCCTGTCCCTGTCTGAACGGGCTCGTGATGACGATCAGCTCATTCTGGGATAATAGGCTACCCCGGGTACAAATTTATTTTTATTTTCTTTCCGTATATTTACTATAAGTAATTCTTTCGCGTCTCTGTCTCCTCGCACTCTTTATGACCGTTAAGCTAATTTTTCCTTACCTAAATAGTGAAATACCTACATTTTAGTTTAATTCCCGATACCACAGTTAAACAGTTAATTACCGAGTAAATAGCCAAGTCAATAATTTTTTTTTCTCTTCGACCGAAACATAAATTTTATTTTAATTCAATTTTGACGTCTGATTGAGACTAGTCGCGATTCAATACCGTCCGTTTTGTTTCTTTTTTTTTATTCAGGACTATCACCACAACTGGGGTGGGCGTTGAAATAGATATTTTTTTTATGTTGTAATTAGTTATTCACAATATATGTGTCAATATTAACTTGCCGTATTACTGGTTAATAATTCCCTACTTTATTTCCCCCTTATATTTCAGTTAGTGATAAATTCTGTATGAGCCCAAGCAACGATTAAAGCCCGTTACTTGTGGCCTACTATTACCTGTGTCTAAGTGACCTTTGACCCCTGGAATTTTTCATCTCCATCTGTAGCTACCCGAGTACTTTCGACGCCGTTTCGAAAGTTTGTGGAGTAAACCATCATCAAAAATCTGGCGCTCGAGAACCGCCCGTAACCAGCGTCATTCGTAAGGAACCGTTTTCTCTGTGGCGAGAAAACCCCGTTACACGTTACAAGTCACCATTAAATTTTGATTAGAAACAACCGTCTGTTCGAGACATAAACTGAAAAAAAAAAAATAATTTCGCCTTTTTATTTTATTTCTTTCGGAAATAGCCGAGCTTGTTAGAGCTGATTTAAACCTTAATTTTTATTTTATTTCATATTTGCAAATAAATTATATTTATTCCCTCAGATCTATTTAATATATTTTTTTGTTAGCGTCTACTGTTTTTGAAACTAAATTGTAAATAGTTTTCGAAAGCAATATATGGATTAATTGTACCCGTTTGGATAATAATTGTGCTTATTTATCCTTAAGTCTTTTTAGTTTCCGGAAATTCTCCAACGTAACCATAACGATTAAATCCTATTTTATTTTATCCCCAGAGTCATAGTAAGATATCAACTTGACCCCTGAAATTTCCGTATCTCCATCTGAGTCTTATCAGAAAACCTTTATAATTTTTTTAAAATAAATTTTCTCTATTGTCCTACCACTAGCCAGCTCAACCACAGAGTTGCTCACTATTTTCTTAACTCCATAACAAGAAAGTGTTAAATTATTATGGCTTTTTTTAATATGCTGTGTAAATATCTATAACATGAATTCTACTTCATATTTTCAGGAGGTAGCATCATTCCAAGAAAAGACAGACCAAGAAGATCATCATCGTTAATGCACAATGATCCCTTCACCTTGTACATTGCCTTAGATTCCAATCAACAAGCTAGCGGCTACCTCTACATAGATGACGCAGAAAGCTTCGAATATAAAAACAAAAAATACCTATACGTTCGTTTCACATTCGAAGACAATACATTGAAAAGCGAATTAGTCGACAAAACTGATTACCCTACAAAAGAATGGATAGAAAGACTGGTAATTCTAGGTCCTCCGAAAGGTGTTAAGAGTGCTAAACTAGTTAGTAAGAGTTTGGGCAGCGTCGAATTGGATGCGGCATACAGCAACGAAGACAGAATTTTGGTTGTAAGGAAGCCAGGGGTTAGTATAAGAGAGAAATTTACTGTTAAATTATATTTTTAAAATATAGTTGTCAAGCATTCCTAAACACCTTAACTGCAGTGGTAAAAAGTACTAATTAGGTTGTTCCATGTAAAATTAACTAAATGTTAAAGTTTGAGTTAATTTTGGTTAATTTGTGGCATATTTGTTTCATATCACCTAAAGTAACTATACATTATTTTCTTATTTTTGAGTTAAATTTGTGCAATTATCAAAACAATCTTAAAAAATCACGTACTCAAAGTATTATATTTATAAAACATCGTGTATTTATTTATACATGTTAAAAATTTTAAATTACTCTCCCATTGACAACTATTAGTGCTTCTGTCATTTCTTGTTTTAACGCTTTTAAACATTTAAATATTTGGAATACTTTGCATCCTTGGGAAAAAAGTCGCAATGGGTGATATCGGGTAAATATGTAGGACGGGGTAAAAAAAAACCTTGTTTCATCCCAGATTTTCCGATTTTTGGCGTCCGGCAGCAAATATCCTAAATATAATTCAAATACAGGTATTTTTATTTGTTGATTTTATCTGGAATAACCTAATGAGTATCCTGTCTCTTGTCACAGATAAAATACTTTTGGTAAAATTATGCCTTTTGATAAGAAATTGCACAATTTTTTTCCAGTGACTGACAGCAATGTCATATACAGTAAATAATGTTGCATACTTAATAGGTAACTTACAGGATGTGACATGCCATTATTGACCACTAATATGAAAATGGAAATTAGTAAAGAGAGTTTAAAATACTTCGTGTTATTAATACCTAGTTCTTCAATAAAATACAATATGGCACAGTCAGTAGGATTCATTTATAAAATCAAATATCAATGATGAAGAATGCTGAAATCGTTTCAGCAAAATATGTAGCAAATAATATTTCTTTCAAGTTGGAAAAATTGATGAAATTAGGCTTTGAAGTAATAAAAGTTTTTTCCATTACACTTATAGATTTTAAAAGTAATACACTAAAAAATCCTATTACTGGAAAGAGGTTATTAAATAAGTTACTAGATACACCAAAAATTTATAAGCAAATTAAAGAAAATAATACTCCTAGAATATTCAAACAGAATATTTAATCTAGCACTGATGATTCCGATAAAGAAAAGGAGTATATTATAGATATAAATAATGAAAAAATAGTCGGCCTAAAAGTTAACCTACACAATTCACCTCTTCAATTATGCAAGACGGAAAAAGAATATCAGGGCTTCAGAATTAATTAGGAAAATCAACCTAGAACATCTTCCAGATAATGGTTTATCTTTGAAAAATAAAGTAAAACCTCATTTAATAGAGGTTATGAAGCTTTCAGCTATAAAGATTACTCAACAAAATAACCCAACTAGTATATCAACGAATCCTAAAAATAAACTTTTATCGTAGAATGAATTTAAAGGTTTTATCAAGGGCTTTTGAAAAAGAAGCCCTGGCGACTATTAATACAGAACGACAACTGATAGAGACAAACTTCAACAATTGCATAGTTCTCTTCAGACTTGTCATAAGGAAAATTATTTTGCTGAAAAGTTTAAAGGTAGAACTAAATGACACGCCAGAATCAGGAATTATCTTGGGTTATGTGGAGAGAAAAACAGAAAACTTTTGGGAAATCTTAGCTGATGACATGGGTTCGAATCCTACTGACTGCGCCATATTGTATTTTATTGCGGTTTCAGGTATTAACACGAATTATCATTTTAACTGTTTACTAATTTCCCTTTTCTTATATATACAGTGGTCAATAATGGTATGTCACATCCTATTAGGTATGAAATAATATTTACATTATATGGCAAGCAGTAAATAATGTGTTTATTATTATTATTCTGTTGATATTATCAATGGAAGGAAGCATGTCTAGCATGCTTGAAGTATGTTTTTGTAAGTTAATAATAAATTGTGATTGAAATAAAAAAGTATTAAACTATTTTTGATTTGGACCACTTAATTTTTTCATTTCATTTGTAATCCTGGTATTCCTAGCATATCCTCGCCAACTTACACAAACATAATCTCATACCTGTCAACGCAACAAAATCCATTCGTTTTAATGGGAGTCACAGTGAGTTAAGGTGTGTGTATTGTAACAAAGTCTTGAATATGTAAAAACGTTTCATAGGTACCGACATTTTTTTTAATATGGTATATAATTATACCCCTTTTTACGACGATCCGACACGTCAGGAAAGTTGAGTATTGGTCTTTGAAGATGATGCACTTCCAACAATCGTCAAAAGACAACATGCTGTAAAGTCGAACGCAGTTTTCTTCAGAAGTACAAGACTTGTGAAAGCCATTTTTAGGGACAGAGAACAGTCACAATCGCTTGGTACATCCAAGTTTGCCTTCCTGCTATTCTTCAATAGCTGTTAGTAAGAGGATTAATGATACTGCACAACAATGCGTAACGTTATGATTCGTGCAGGAAATATCAAGTTGAACATCCACCCTACTCGCCGGATCTCGAAATGTGTGACTTTTGGTTATTTTTTAATTTGAAATAAGTTTATAAGAGGTCGTTTTAATTCAGAAGCAGAAATCGATTGTGCCATCCATGTGTATTTTGATTCAATCCCTGTTAATGAGCGGAGAGATGCCTTCGATAAGTGGAAAATTCGACTTCAAAAGTGCATTGATGCTGGAGGGGAGTACTTTGAACATACGTGAATTTTCATTACCATAGTCCTTATAGTTTTTTATGAATCTCATTTATATCAGCTTGATCCTCGTATTTGTAGGTCTTAAAAATTGTTTAAAGGTATGTAATTGGTTACTAAATAATTATAATATACTTGATGCATTTTATCTGCTTACTCTAATAATGTATAAAAATTCAGAAACAATATAATTTAGGTAAACAAAATGTACTCAAAAAAATACTGTAATTTTCAGTAGAATCAAAATTACGTAATAACTAATTTAGCGTATTTCTAAATTACGGTGTAAAGATTGGTATTCTCGAGGAGGTTTATCAAGTTTTGGATACTGTCGGGACTTACCAAGGGTATATTTTAAAATGTTGATCAATTCATGATTTCTGTGTACCTCTGCATATTGTGGACATTCTATCAGGATGTAGATTTACGGTAATACTAGTATTATAACTGGCAGACGGGAGGGTAGCCACGGGCGATTCTAGTATTAACTACGCCGGCACAAAAAAAAAATTGTCAGTACTTTTGACGGGACCGGTATATCTTTATGTATATCGACCCGCTGAATCCAAATCTGAGGTCCGTTTGACCCGTACACCCTCAAATTTCCTAGAAAACTGAAAAACTCTGCCGATTTTCGTCATTGTTTTCGGATTTCAAAGTTTTCTCGAAAATTTGACTGTGTACGGGTTAAACGGACCTCAGATTCGGATTCGCGGGTCGAAATACATAAAGATATACCGGTCCCATCAAAAGTACTGACAACTTTTTTTTGTGTGCCGGTGCTATCAGTAATTTTAGAATCATAATTTGGAAGTGAAACACTTCTTACTGCTTGTTGGAAAAAAGAAATAAAATTACTGATAAAAAATTAACCCATTTATTAATTCCACTAATAAGCGTCAAAGAAAATATACGACAAGAATGAAGATATACCCATTTTCGATCAGATTTTTTTTCAGAATTAACAGGCTTCATTCCCTTATAAAGCTTGATTTTTCAATTTGATATCGTTTTTTACGTCAGAGTTAGGAGTTGTTTTTTTTTTTTCGATATTTGAACCCCCCCCCCCCATTTTTATTCAGAATCGATAGGCTTCAGTCCCTTATAGAGCTTGGTTTTTACTAAACATTTCATGTTGATATTGCTTTCGGTGTTAGATTTCTATTTTTTTTTTTTTTATTTCAACACCCCTTGACCCACAATTTATTGTCTTTTTAAAATCAATAGGTTGTCCCCTTATAGAGCTTGATTTTTGCCAAAAAATTCAAGTTGATATCTTTTTCGTTATTGAGTTAGGATTTTTTTAAATATTTCAACCACCTTTAACCCCTCATTTTTGTTTTTTTTTTTTTTCAGGATTAATTAGAATTTGTGACAATATTTTAATGTCCCTACACCTCCACAGCATAGTCCCCTCCTGAAGTCCCATTCTGACTGTTTCACTTTTATCATGCATTCAATAACACTTTTATTTTTTTCTACTATTCGCTGTGTGCAGTTGGCATGGAGGGGATAGATTGAGCTATCGCAGCGCCTATGGTGGCAGGAGTCGGCGATTGTCCACATCATCGTAGTAGCGCGGCAGCGTGTTGTGGGTCTCGTGTTGGGTATTAAAATGAGTCGTCGTTATTGTAGTGTTGTCGAAGAATATTATTTTTAATGCTGATCGACTTTTCAATTCTGATAACTGAATCTCGGATTGCTCTACTTGTAAATCACCGTGCGGACGATACATTTCGGAAAAAAATTTTCCTTTGGCATACTTCTCGAGTTTAAGCTTCTTTTCGCTAGGTTTACCCCATAACTGTTCATGATTTGTTTTCGATTCACTTTTGTCATTGTTGATATACTCAATAAGGGCTGCGACATGCTTGCATTTCGAACTATTTCCGTAAACGCAATTACAAGAAACTGACAGAATTCGCCGAGTTGCATCAAGTTGAAATAATATTAGAAAACATAAGATTATTTTTATTATTGTCAATAATAAATGGATTTCAACACAATTTTAATCTTACATGCAATTCTACAAGATATTGTTTTTTCGTGACAGACGTTTGTCTAATGACACCAGCTCGGATAAAAAGGCCAACACCTGACTCTCTGTGCTCTTCGACATTTATGACATGCCCAGCTTCTACCAAATCTTTACCTTTTCTTGGCGTTTCAGGCTGAAAGTTTATGTCATGAGATATTTTCTCAAATCCAGTGTACAAGATGACACTCATGACAAAAATGTAGCATCTAAGAATACAGACAAATTACATTGATTTATGACATTCAAAACGCAGATACTTCGTATGCATAACCTCCAAATATTTTTGTCATTTACTTACTTTTTGTGCGACAGAAACAATTTTTGTTAGTCTATCAACTAACAGCGAACCCAAAACTTGTTGCAACACTTAATTGTTGAAAAAGAATTTTCAAGTTCAACTGTTGAGTGTGAGGTGTATAGCAAGTATGCGGGAATGAATGAGGAGAACTGTCGCTATCCCGTCACCAGAGAGCGCTACCAGTCTTGCACACAGCGAATAGTCAGTGGCATTTTGTATATAATTCCCCAGACAACACACCAAATCCCAGAGATATCCACAGAATATCTTTTGTGGATATCCAATATATCTACAGAATATCAGAAATATTCCGTGGATCTAATATGGATATCCAAATGTCCATCTATATCCAGAATATAGAAGATATCCTAATGGATATTCAGCAAAATATCTAATGGGTATCTTCCAGAAAATACAAGAAATCCCAGAGATATCCACAGAATATATTTTGTGGATATTCAATATATCCAATATGGATATCCAACCAAATGTATGTCTATATCCCAGGATATAGAAGATATTCGGATATTCAACAAAATATTTTATGGGTATCTTTAGTAGAGGTTCATAAGTAACCATTGATTATTAAATAACGTCGAAAGAAAATAGCAGAGATAAAAAATATTTTCAACACTCAAAATATTTTCAACACTCTGCCTTTGATTTTGCCCACTAAGGAGAAAGTCATCCTTATTAAGACTCTTCAGCAATAAATGGAAATTCTCGACTCCAGTCCCTAAAGGAGTCTGTAGGACAAAAATTTCGATCGAACTCTATTACGGCGGGTCTAGCATGAGTAGATACGATAGTGGCATCGCCATCTATACTTAGTAGAATCAAATAACATCTAGTGGATATCCACGATGGTTTGCGTTCGCGCCTAGACTTTGATATATTTAGTGGATGTTCATGGGATATTGAATACACCTTAAAAAAATTAATTTTAAATATCTGAACGGTACTATTAGCCACAATGGCGTAATTTTTTAATAATTTGCTATATAATTACTATTATACCATGGACTGGACATTCAGTGGATATTGGGATGTTCAGTAGATATCCAAAGGATTTGGTGTGCTGTCTGGGTCAGTATTGGACCCTCTCCATTATTGTACCACTTGTTTCAAATTGATTCTTTATTAAAGCCTACTAGATCTTTGAATCGATGAATATTTTCTAAAGGTAAGTTAGTTGTGTAACCTACCGCACCCAGGTACCATAATAATTTATTAATTCCATTTAATAAATATAATATTGCATTCTTATTAAATTCAAAATCCTTCTTTTAACGAAAAATTTCCGAGATAATTAAATCTTATTTACGACACCTAATAAATAATGTATATAACCACGTCCGTAAAATATCCAAATTTCGTGCACGTGTATGGGAACCAGCTCAAGAAACCACCATAAAACATATTTCTTTTCACGAAGTAATCATCATTAAAACTTGACTCGCTTATCTTTCTAGTTAAGATGTTAAGACCGATTTCGACAATATTTCGATACACAAAGCTTTCAAGGCAAGTAATAAATAAGCCACCCCCTTTGCACCCACAGTATTTCGATGGAAACTAAAGACAGAGACGTCATAAAAGCCATTAAAATTTAGTATAAGAAGCCAGACCCAAATGAGCTCGGATGGATTTATTTTTAATTATTTGATGTGCATGCATTCATTTTTAATTATTTGATGCGCATTCATTCATTTTTTATTATTTGATGTGCAAGCATTCATTTATCAATTATATCCAGTTATATTTCAAGTCCAGTAGTCAGTACCTTTCCAAAAATGTTCTTCCTAAACAACGTCTATCCTACAATATCTCCTATTCCCGAACGCTGTCAACGTCCCACGCCTTATTTCCGACGCTTGCCGTCCCTAAATATTTCATAATATCACCCTTCGTCACGTCCCGCACCACCTAAATAATTCTACCGTATATCTGTCCCAATGCAGTAGCGTATTAAATACCTTCATTTCCACCACGACGCTAGGCGACGCTCAACGCTGCGACGTACCTAAATCGACACCGTCACAACGTTAGATGAAATTAGTACATAATCTAATGTCTGTATTTTCAATGGAGAGTCAAAAGATTTATGTAACTTTCATTGAGATTCCACCAGGGTTTCGTTTAAACGAGGGCTCTTTTGACATTTTCTACAAAATATCAATTTAACCAATAAACCACATGGCCTTTAGGTAATACACCCCGAAAGATAGATAGAATAGACATCTGTTTTCGATGGGTGTAATTTTGAGTATTTTAATAGAAATTATAAAAATTTATAGTAAGTTAACCAACTGGTGAATACACTGTTCTTTAGCTCAAGGGGGTACACCTATATGCTAAGCAACCCGTTTTACTAGGTTTGAAACAAAGTATATGTGAAATCAACATACTAATCAACTGGCGAATTGGCGCTGTTCATTACTTCCGTTGGTCATCCTCTATACTCGCCGAAATATTTACCTAAGAGGGTGCAACTAGTGTATATCTAGAGTAGAATCAACATCAACACCATAGTTAACCAACTGGCGAATTGGCGCTGTTCGTTAACTCCGTTGGTCATCAACCTAAATAAAATATATATTGATAGCAAATGAATATGGTCTGGGTTTGAAAGGGACTCAAGTGAGATCTCAGTAAATAGTAACAATTGTAATATACTTTGCTAATTATTGCATCACATTTAAAGTATGAAAAATAAAGAGTTTAAATATTAATTTGTATGTTTTATTTATCAATTTGCACCAAACTGCATCGAATTCTGGTTTACCTTAATTAACATCACAATGTGGGTATACAAATTATCTATTAATTAACTAGACGATCACTTTTACTACTAGAGGAAAAAGGCCAAATACAGTAAGTATAGAATTTAGAGTAAAATAAACTTGTGAGGTAAATAATAACATCCGAAAGTAAAATAACGAAGAAATAAGGGGTGTAGGGGGTGGGCCGTTACAGTTGTAATGGCTTCTTAGGGTTAATAGTCGGCCATCTTGTTGCATTCAATGTCCATGTGTTAATGGACCTAAATAATTGATACATTTTTTTTTTTCGTTTAAAGTTCGGATAGTTTCATGATGTTGAGAAAAATGTCCTGGATATAATGTATTGATGAAAGGGAATCAGTACAGATGGATACCCAGTAATTTTAGGGGGTTCAGGATACTAAAAAATTAGCCTGTGTGTGAATGCTACAGTTTATTGGAAGTCTGAATGTTACCAATGGTGTTTCAACAGTTGTCACTCCATTTCAATTTTTTAAATGATCAGTAAATAAAATTAAAAGCAAATTTTTTTAGAAAATTTATTTTACTATAAATTTATACAAATAAACCAAAAATATATTCATCTACACTCTAGTAATACTTTTATACAAAAAAGTGCTGCTCTCTGAAAATTGCACAAAAAAAAGTTAAACGACAATAATTTTCGCTCATTTTAACGACACAACGGATTAAAAATCCTCCGGTAATAAAGTTACTAGATTATAATATATATACATAAAAACCTTACGTATGCGAATCACATATAAAAATCAAATTACAAACTTTGGTAATTCAAAAATAATTCTGATATCAATAAATCAGTCAAAGTAAAAAGTTTGGTGAATTAAGTCCTCTTCATTTAAATTTAACTTATTTCAAAATCACCATAGAGTGAGTGCTATTGACTTTCGGACAAAAAATCGGTTTCCTCTAATTTGGTTAGTGCAAACTTAAAAATCAGTTAAACATCATATAGTAAGTACCAGTAAATGTTTTAAGATCTCTTAAGTTATTCTAATAAAAGGGATAAAAAAGAAAGCTTGTTATTAATCATTTCAAATTACTCATTAAATGTAAAGGACTTTATATATTTACATTACAAAAACTATTAAAATTTTCATTTATTCCATTTTATAGATTACAAATTATGTACTATGTTCATTTAAAAATTGAATGATCGGCCATAACAATGTTGTAACTAACCGAGCTTTATGGAAAATGTAGAAAAATATTTTAAAACGGGTTTTCATCTATATTCATGTTTTTATTTAATTGGCTGGTTCATAACATCTGAAGATAGATAGTATTAGAATATTAAATGTTGTTCCATGTAAACCCAGCATAATGTAAAATTGGTAGTTACAATGTTGTTATGGCCGATTATCAATCCTGAATATTTTACTGTGATACCGGATTCAAAAGGTATTTTAAAATCTTCCAATGCAATACGAGGAGGGACCCAAAAAAACGGGAAATGGGTTGCGGTGGAGAGGGAAAGTGGGGACCGGGTGTCCATTACGGTCACGCCATTTGAGTTAGTGTGCGAAGTTGTGTCGCTGTGAGTGCATCGGTTCGCCAGTGAGAGTTTTTTTGAAAAACATCCTTTTCCATTTTGGTGAAAACGTGATGGTAAATTGTCGAGAGAAACGCACCGCTGTGAAATTTTGTTTCCTGTTGGGGAAATCGGCCGCGCAAACTATTGTAATGCTTAAGACTGCTTATGGGGACGCTGCCCTAAGTAAAACCAGAGTATACGAGTGATTTTCACGTAAAAATGCAGAAAGTCAATTGAAGACTAACCCCGTTCAGGACGTCCCGTAACGTCAAGAAGTGACGAAAACGTCGATAAAATCAATGCGCTTGTTCGCGAAGACCGTCGCCGAACCATTGTTTAACTCTTTGAGATGTCTGGAACATCACGAAGTTCAATTCAGATGATTTTATCCGAAGATTTGCATATGAGAAATGTTGCAGACAAATCTGTCCCCCGCCTTCTCACAGACGAGCAAAGGGAGCGTCGACTTCAGGCATATTTTGAGCTTCAAAATAAGCTCAAAGAGGACCCCGACACCGATTGTCCCCCCCCCCCCTACTCACCAAATCTAACCGCATGTGATTTCTTTTTGTTTCCCAGACTCAAAAGGGACATGAAATGAAAGCATTTTACCACTGCGGAGGAGGTAAAACAAAAATCGCTGGAAGGCATAAAGAACATTCTGATAAGTGAATTTAATAACTGTTTTGAACAGTAGAAGGATCGTTTGGAGAAGTGCGTTGTGGACAATAGAGAATACTTTGAAGGTGATCAAAATTTGGTGTAAAAATATTAAGAAATAAAGGCGTTGTGACGGGTTTTCCGTTTTTTTTTTGAGTCCCCCCTCGTAAGTGCTTTAGTTTTCAAAGTAATTCCGATTTTGTTTAAAAAGAAGTAGAATATTCTCTGTACTTTTATTTGCACATGGTGATAAACAAATATAACAAATAAGTGATTTTAGACTCTTAACAGTGTACCTCTTATTATTGAGCCTATGAAATAATTTGCCAAATTTTATTTACCCGTTATTTCTCAATCTATAAAATCTAAAACGTTGATATTCGTCTAAAATGGAATAAATAAATTTAAAACAATCATAATATTCTAAAACCAGACATAAACCACTGTAAAATTATAAGATATTCACATTTAATTTATATATGTTCTGATTTTAAATCATACTGGAATTTATTAATTTCTTTCTTAATAAAAACTTTTTTTGATGGTATTAAACCAATAATAATAAAGTAAAAATAACAAATAATCAAAATCACTTAATAAAACAAAATCTTAGTAAATTAAAATAATCAATGAATTTTATTACAAAGTTTTTCAATCTATAAAATAATTTGTAATAACTGTGAACTATTTTTAATTGATCATATTACAAATATATGATTATTTCACAGCTTTCCTATCAAAATTAAACTCAATTTAGTCGAAATTGAATTAAACAATAATAGAAAAATAAACTCAAATTCAGCCTAACTAACCAACGTCCGAAAACTACGTACTTTACTCAGTTTAATCAATAGGTATAATATATCTATTTCTTTTCTTTTTGCCTTACATCAACCAATTTGATTTCCCTAACTTGCAAATTATGTTCACTTTTAGCCGCAAATTTGATAAGTGCTTGTGTAGAAATCTGTAACGAGTGTCTACAATCTAACGTAATTAATTTTTCGCATTTCGAAAGGTGTTCCAAACTATTTTCCGTAACTAATTTTGAATGACTCAAATCTAAGGTAATTAAATTTGTGACAGTATTGGCCGGTTTCGTAGACAACTGGGCAATACCCGCATCTGAAATTCTGGGACACATTCCTAAACTAAGATGTTGCAGGTTAGGTAAGTACTGGGTTACATACCGCATGGCGATGTCGGTAATATCTGTACCTGCAAGTTTTAAGTCTTTAAGATTCCTAAAACGAATCTTAGCTGATGGCAATCCTGTACGCGAATCGTTGTTAGGTCCCAAAATATCCCTTAAAGCTGAATCATTAAAATCCGAGATAAAGCTTAAATCTAAACACTGAAGTACGGCGGAATGGTTAGATTTTAAAGAAATTGCTGTTTTCACGTTTACACTGACCAGCGACAGCTCTTTGAGTTGACTTAAGCGTTGGATCAACCAAGGCAATTGGAATTTATTAATATGGCACCAATCTAGATTAAGACATTCCGGTTGCCGCCTCACTATTCCTTTTAAAATATCCGACGATATGTGTTTTCTATTGAAAGACATTTTCCTCCACAAAGAAGGATCTACGGTGAATGTTGCCCATGTTTTACAAACTAAAGCGCATGTTAGGAGTTCTTTTGGTGACATATATCGAAATGTCAGCAATATACAACGTTTGTCAAGCGCTAAGTTAGTTGTGGACATCGTGTTTAGAGACATAATGGGTGCCGGTCGGACCACTACCATGGGTTTCTTTAATACTTTTGTGGAATTAGAAACAATTTGGTGAGCTAGCTGCATTCTAAAAGCCGTTTTTCTTGGTGGATCGCCAGGTGATGCATTTTTCGTCTCTATATCTGCACTTTCACTAGATCTCCTTTTCTTTATCGGTAATAGTTCTTTATGATCTTTAACTTCTGTGTCACTACCCGAATCTGACATTTGTTCTTGGTGGTGTTTATTGTCAATAGCACTAGAAGCGTCGGAACTAATCGACATACGCCGGATGTCGGATGATTTTTGACGAGCGCGAAAGTGTCGCGGACGGTAGTCTGTATTTTTGCCTAATTTACAACACATCGGGCATTCCCAAGAATTTGGCATGTCTTCATTTATATAACCAGTAAAGTCTTGACACAGTCTCTGGACACACTGAGGGTGAGCTATCTCATAACAAACCTGAAACATAATTTTGAAAATGTAATAGACATAAAAATTAATGCATGCATTATAAATTGCACATACAGAAAAGATAAACGAGGAAAAGTAAATTCGCTATTCTTCAAAGGGAACAGGAGCATTAAAAAGAACCAGAGCCATATCGTAAGTGTAAATCGCAAAATGTGTAACTTCTACTTTTTTTTGAAATGTTGATTATAACTCCATCTAGTACCAAAATGGCAGATTTACCGTCTGAGAAATGTTTATTATAGTCTTCACACAGTAGTGTCTGTGAAGAGTATTATTCATTCGGTTTCGCCCGTCCGTCCGATGTCGCGTTTTTTGTCCGCATGATAAACAAAAAACTATATCAATTTGAAAATTTCAGGCAAAATCAAGTTCTATAAGTGGATAAAGCCTATTGATTTTGAAGCAAATCTGAGGGGGTTAAGGGGGATTGCAATTAAAAAAAAAAATCAAAAGCGAAAAGCGATGAACATGAAATTTTTAGTAAAAATCAAGTTCTACAAGAGAATGCAGACTATTGATTCTGAAAAAATCTGAATTAAAATGGGGGGTTGAAGTATTAAAAAAATCCTAACTCAAAAATGAAAAAGATATCAACTTGAAATTTTTAACAAAAATCATGCTCTATAAGAGGAAAAAGTCCTTTGATTTTGAAAAAATCTGATTAAAATGGGGAGTTTAAGGGGGGTTTAAATAAAAAAAAATCATAAATAAAAAATGAAATTTTTAGTAAAAAACAAGCTATTCAAGGGAATGAAGCAAAAAAACAAGCTATTCAATGAAGCTTATTGATTCTGAAAAAAAAATCTGAATAAAAATAGGGGGATAAGGGGGGTTGAAATATTGAAAAAATCCTAACTAAAAAAAAAAAAAAGATATTAAATTGAGATCTTCAGAAAAATCAAGTTTTATAAGAGGATGCAGCTTATTGATTCTGAAAAAAAAAAAACTGAATAAAAATGAGGGGTTAAGGGTGGTTTGAAATATTTAAAAAAATAGAAATCAAACACCAAAAGTGATATCAACATGAAATTTTTAAAAATCAAGCTCTAGAAAAGAATGAAGCATATGGATTCTGAAAAAATGAATAAAAATGGGGGACAAGAGGGGTTGAAATATTAACAAACTCCTAACTCGGAAACAAAAAAGGATATCAATTTGAAATCTTGAAAAAAAAATCAAGCTTTATAAGAAAATGAAGCCTACTGATTCTGAAAAAAATCTGAAAAAAATCTGAAAAAAAAAAAATCTGAAAAAAAATCCTAACTCAAAAACGAAATTATTATGAAATTTTTAGTAAAAATCAAGCTCTATAAAGGAAAGAAGCCTATTGATTTTGAAAAAAAAAATCTGTATAAAAATAAGGGGGGTTGAAATATTGAAAAAAATCCTAGTTGAGAAACAAAAAACGATATCAAATTGAAATCTTCAGAAAAAATCAAGATTTATAAGGCGATGAAGCCGATTGATTCTGAAAAAAATCTGAATTAAAATGGGGGGTTGAAATAAAAAAAACCTAACTCAAAAACGAAAAGCGATATCAACATGAAATTTTTAGTAAAAATCAAGCTCTACAAGGGAATGGCGCTCATTGATTCTTAAAAAAAAAAATAATTTAAATGGGATAAGGGGGTTGAAATATTGAAAAAAAATACTAAATCAGAAACAAAAAACGATATCAAATTGAAATCTTCAGAAAATATCAAGCTTTATAAGGGGCCCATTGATTCTGAAAAAAATGTGAATAAAAATGGGGGGTTAAGGGGTCTGTTAAACTGTGAAGAGTATAATATATAATATCAAGCATTATATATCTTCATTCTAGTTTTATTCTTCATCCAAATTACAATATTTATCATATAAAAACAAACTCAGTTTTTAATAAGTTCAAGGGTTCTAATTTAAATTAATCTTTCGGCTGTCCTGTAAAATTTTCCTAAATGGAGTTATACACTTAGCGATTTTTAAAAATCAAGCTCTAGAAAAGAATGAAGCATATGGATTCTGAAAAAATGAATAAAAATGGGGGACAAGAGGGGTTGAAATATTAACAAACTCCTAACTCGGAAACAAAAAAGGATATCAATTTGAAATCTTGAAAAAAAAATCAAGCTTTATAAGAAAATGAAGCCTACTGATTCTGAAAAAAATCTGAAAAAAAATCCTAACTCAAAAACGAAATTATTATGAAATTTTTAGTAAAATTCAAGCTCTATAAAGGAAAGAAGCCTATTGATTTTGAAAAAAAAATCTGTATAAAAATAAGGGGGGTTGAAATATTGAAAAAAATCCTAGTTGAGAAACAAAAAACGATATCAAATTGAAATCTTCAGAAAAAATCAAGATTTATAAGGCGATGAAGCCGATTGATTCTGAAAAAAATCTGAATTAAAATGGGGGGGTTGAAATAAAAAAAAACCTAACTCAAAAACGAAAAGCGATATCAACATAAAATTTTTAGTAAAAATCAAGCTCTACAAGGGAATGACGCTTATTGATTCTTAAAAAAAAAAATTAAATTTAAATGGGATAAGGGGATGAAAAAAAATACTAAATCAGAAACAAAAAACGATATCAAATTGAAATCTTCTGAAAATATCAAGCTTTATAACGGGCCCATTGATTCTGAAAAAAATGTGAATAAAAATGGGGGGTTAAGGGGTCTGTTAAACTGTGAAGAGTATAATATAGAATATCAAGTATTATATATCTTCATTCTAGTTTTATTCTTCATCCAAATTACAATATTTATCATATAAAAACAAATTCAGTTTTTAATAAGTTCAAGGGTTCTAATTTAAATTAATCTTTCGGCTGTCCTGTAAAATTTTCCTAAATGGAGTTATACACTTTGCGATTTATACTGATATGGAAAATTTATAAATGAAAAAAACAGTAAACCAACACATGAGACTACTCTTACACCCGATAATTTTAATTATTTTTATTAGCAAAAGTTTCAACTCACATTACAACTTGTTTAGCTGGTACATAGGCAACTACAAATTCTGGACCTTGTGATATGCTCGCAAAACATTTTTGGAACAACAATACCTTCTTTGTATATCCTATTACTAACAATGAGCTTAAAAATATTATACATGATCTATCAAGATGGCTATGGGATAAGCAACAAAATGTTAAAGCTGTTCACAAAAGGTATCTGTGCACCACTTAGGAGGATGATAAGTAACTGTTATACAGGGTGCGGCACCGAAAACGAAACAGATCGCATATCTTGAAGACACATTTTTTTGGAGAAAATGCAAAAAGAGGTCGATTTTTATTTCAAAGGGGATATCTTTCGATCATATCCTCAATTATTATCCTACATCCCTCCCCACCCGTCTGTCACTATTAGCAATGAAATTGAAATAGGGAAAGTACTAAGTGTGACACATCATTGAAAAGGTAATTTTATAAGGAATTTGACTGTGTGACATGTGACAGTTCAAATAAGCGTATTGTCATGTGAAAGCCAAATTTAAAAATTTAATGCATAATTATCTTTGGAATAAAATTGAACTTACTACGCCTATGTTTTCGTAAAATAAAAATAAAAATTTTTATTTCCATAACTGCCAGGTCTGTTTTTTTAGTTTAGCGTCATTGATACTTCAAGTCTATTAGCGAGTTAAACATAAAAATGGTTTATTCTATTTAGCAGAGAGTAGAAATTGTTGAATGTTATTTAAAAAATAACGAATGTGCTAACACTGCCTGTACAATTTTCAATGAGCGACACCCAAACAAACAGGTTAAACGTAAGTACGTTTTGGAACTTACTTTAAAATTTCGACAAACAGGATCTGTTCAAAATAAAAAACGGCAGATTCAAAATCCAGTAAGAAACGAAGCCGTAGAGGTAGCCGTTTTAGGACAAGTTGTTGCAGATCCAACTCTTAGTACAAGAAAGCTTGCAGAATTATCTGGAGTAAGAGACCGTACCGTTAGGAGAATTTTGAAAGCAAACAAATTCCATCCCTATAAAATTCATTTAGTTCAGGAACTTAACGAAGACGATTTTGATCGCCGCTTGCAATTTTGTGAAATCATTAACGAGCATGCTATACAAGATCCATATTTTCTTTATAACATTTGTTTTTCAGATGAATGCAGTTTTTATGTTGTCAATCGACATAATTTTCGATACTGGTCAGATTCCAATCCAAGAGTATTTCATGAAACGCATACTCTACACTTAGAAAAGTTAAACGTTTGGGCTGGAATATTTGGCGATCGTATTGTTGGTCCATTATTTTTACCAGGTACTGTAACTGGGGATATGTATTTGGAATTACTCGAAAACACCGTTGATCCACTGTTAATAGGCATAATAGAAAACGTTAACCGATACCTTGAAGATCACCTAAGATTTCCACAGGACGGGGCTCCTCCACATTTTGCTGCAGCGGTTCGTCAGTACTTAAATGAAAACTTTCCTAGACATTTGATTGGACAAAGAGGATTTATTGAATGGCCCCCACGATCTCCTGATCTGTCCCCCTTAGATTACTTTTTATGGGGATATCTGAAAAGTAAAATATACGCCACTCAGCCAGGTTCCTTAGAAGAGTTACGTGAACGTATTATTACCGAATGTCGTCAAATAACTCCAGAAATGCTCCAAAACGTCAGACAAAGATTTGAGAATAATTTATATTCGTGTATGGAAGTTAATGGACAACACTTTGAGCATTTACTTTGAAGTAATTTAATTTTTAATTATGGGAGTTGTCCTAAATTTTTCAATTTAATTTTTATGTTCACTTTTCTATTATTTTTTTATTTTTATTATGCATTGTCTATTAAATGAGTTTTACTTTCAAGTGAAGTATCATTATTTAAAATACGGAAACTTTTCCCGCAAGATGGCGCCAAAATCAAAAGTTACGTAATAAACTGTCACACAGTCAAATTCCTTATAAAATTACCTTTTCAATGATGTGTCACACTTAGTACTTTCCCTATTTCAATTTCATTGGTAATAG